TTTGGAACTTCAGTGTTGCTCGTGCATCCCAGGAGTGTCTTGGCAGTCGATTGCCTTAGTTCCTTCTCAGACTGGAGGCAGGGGGTGGAACCTTTTCTGAGCAATAGTCATCAACCGAGATTGCCCTCTGGGGCAGCTCTGTGGGCAAGGGAGGTGTGGGGTTGCTATTCTTAGGGGAACTTGCTGCCTCCATCTCTCAACTCAATCCTCCCGTTGATTTATCTGCTGCCTATTAACTTCTGCTTTGACACCCCCACTTTGGGTACTGTACCCTGAAGGGATCCCCTATTTACCTTTGAAATACAAATGAAACCCCTCCATTTACATTTACTCATCACAGCTGGCCTTGGGAACCCTTCAAGAAATTAGAGTATCAAAGGCTGAATGATGTCCCTAAGGCTTAGGAACCCCCAAAATGCTGCCTCTGCTCATCAAGCACTTGAAACTTTCTGCCATGGTGTAAAAGGGGGAAGGTTCTTCCATAGTGTCAAAGGATTTCAAATCAACTTTCTGGAATTAAACATCTGTGTGGTGGAATCATTTATTTGCCCGACGAGTATGTATGGAGCACCTACTACGCACCAGGTGCCATGTAGGGCATCGGGGAAGACAACGAGCTCACAGTTGGGTGGGAGGGACAGACCTGAGCAAGAAACGATAGGCACATATGCTCTGGGTGCTGCGGAAACGTGGAGGAGGGGCGGCTTTTCCAGTCGGGGCGGGGGTGGGGGTGTGTGTGGAGGAGTCAGGTAAAGCCTTCTGGAAAAAGCAGAACAACTCCACCTTGTTCCTCCAACTACTTGAGGCTGGGTTGCATTTCTCAGGCATTCAAGGGGGGAAAAATAAGTTTTCATTTCCAAAGCTTGCTTTCAGTTTTACCAGCTCCCTTGACTTCAATAAAATAGTCCAAGAGAAGCTGCCCTCCTCCCTCAGACTACCCAGGTGTGGAAACTGATTAAATAGCAACTAGTGGCTCAATTAACCCTTGTCCCCTTCGTTGATGATCTCAGGGAAATCTCCTTATAACCTCCTTGCTGTGTCCTACAGAACGACACATTCCCCGCTGAAGATGCAGCCCTTGTATTTCTTGGCCATAAATGAGATTGTTGGGTCTTGCCTCAGATGATAAATAACTGAATAATTCAGAAAAGTCCCCAGTCACTATATTTGCTGAGAGATTCTTCAATAGCAGTGGTACTGATACTATTACTAGTGACATGCCTGAGAGGCCCTCCTTGGCTGTCATTTAGATTAGCTCTAGTCACACTATCCCATTACCTTGTCTTTTTTAGTAACATTTACTACTAAGGGTAAATCCCTATTTGTCACTGGTTTATAAGCTTCATGAGAGGAAGACCCCCCTCCCCCTCTCCACTTAATCTATAGCACTTTTTTTTTTTATGCCTCCCCCTCTTTTTTTTTTTTTTTTTTAAAGATTTTATTTATTTGACAGAGCACAAGCAGAGGGAGAGAGAGGGAGAAGCAGGTTCCCTACTGAGCAAGGAGCCCGATATGGGACTCGATCCCAGGACCCTGGGATCATGACCTGGGCCGAAGGCAGCCGCTTAACCGACTGAGCCACCCAGGCGTCCCAATCTATAGCACTTTTAACAGCGATGGGCACAGGGTCAGTGTCAGTAAATATTTGTTGAATGAACTACCATTTACTGAGCATTTACTATGTGCTAAGATTTTCAGCCCTATGATCTCACCCAATCCTTATGATCTCATACCAACCTCCTGAGTTAGGTGCTGTTATTACCCCCATTTTACAGATGACAATGGTTAAGAACTATGCCCCGGGTCACTCTTATAAACAGCAGAGGTGAGCTCCAAACCCTGTGACTCCAGCGTTTGCACTCCTTACCTCTGATGGGGCTACTCTTGTGCACTTCCTGGTGACTGATTTGGAGTAAGAATATTCCAGCAAAATCCTCTCATTTCACATGCAGTCTTGGAACTGAAGAGGATTTCTCAAATGCTTTGAACACTCGTGAAAGCTTCGTAAGACAAACAGCCAAGAAGAAACCCAGGAGTGAGTCTCGGTATCAAACTCACACACAGGGATAAGAAAGAGCGGGCAGGGAGGAGGGGGGCAGTGAACCAGAGAAGTTTCTATTTTCTGCCAGCTCCGTGCTTATAAATAGCACCCTATTAGAGTGGTTTCTCTACCTCCCATAAGGAAGCCACGGAGATACCATCCCTTAACGACACTGCCCTGGGAACACGGACCTCAATACCAAATGAGCAAGTGACAGAGAACTCCTGCCGCTCTGTGAAGCTGAGATCATGTTGTATAAACACTACAGAACTTTTGTCATCCATCTTGGGCTGAGCAAAACCATATTTGCCCAGCACTCTGAGTAATGGCCAGGAGTAGATGGGTTAGGGCTCTTAAATTCCTGGTTGGAAGACATTAAAAGTTTAAGAGCCCTATATAGCTGAGTCAAATGCATGTGCCCATGCTGTATAATTAGCAGGCACAACAACAATAAAGATATAATTGAAAGGGAAGACCAGCAGGGCAAGAATGCGAACCGACACCCTCCTCCCGGGTGTAGCCTCTTCTCCCTTGGACCTCAGCTGCGTAAACGGTAACCTTGCCGGCGCTCGGCTTCAGTGTGGCAAAGGTTTGGATCTCCCATTCCTTCCCTGAGCAATTTGTTTCCCTCTGAAGTCAGCTTTCAGGCATAAGTAATTCACTGCTCCTCTACTAAACATTCATTTCACTTTGTCTAAACAGACTTCTTAAATCAGCCTAGTTATTGTTTACGGAGGCCACCAGCAGGATCTCATGTATAAAAAAATGAGCATCCATGATCCTAAGTGGAAGCAAATGGTCACCCAGCCTGCAAGAGACTTCCCAGGAGACCAGGGAAGGCACAGAGGGAGACGCTTGCTCTGGACATCCAGGGAACTTTGCTGTCACATGGAGTCCTGCTGTCTTGACTACCATGGCTTGAGAAGGGTTGTTTGGAGTAGGGGAGGAGGGTCAGTGATGGGGTCAAAAACTCATCCTGTAAAGAAAATCCCAAGGAGTGATGGCCCTAGATAAGAAACGGTGCTTTGGGATAAGCCCTTTAGTGGAGGACACCCGTGTTCTAGCAATTTCTGGCTACTTTGCATTTTCATGGGATCCTGGAGGAGCAGCTGTTCTTTCTTGCTTCAATTTGCAGTTGGAAAAACTGAGAAGTTCTTCTACCTGCTGGGCGCCAGCTGTGCATGAAGGACATTTTTGGTTCCGTTGGGCACCCCTTGTTCCATTTTTGTTCTAGTCTGGTTTATAGGCTCGGGGCCTCCGTCTTTTCTGCTAAGGAGCTTTCCTTCTTTGAGCTCAGTCTGGGCCTCCCCCTCAGCCCAAAGTACAGGACTCTCCCCTGGGCTATGATGGTGGGTGGAAATCCCCCTGCCCTCCACTTCCTCTCCTGGAGCTCATGTTCCCGGTGTTGATACCACAAACTCAGAAGGCAAAGCACAATTACCAGCTGTGACATCAACACAGATTCTGGGCTGACCTCAACTCTGACCTAAGAGGAGGAAAATTAAAAGGCAAATGCTCTTCTATTCCAGGCATCTCCTTTGGTGGTGCCAGAATTAAAACTCAAACCAAGGAAGGGCTAAGCAAAGCCATGCTGCTACATACAATCTCCAAAATGAGGCCTTAGGTGTCAGCTGCCCTCCTTGGAAACTGGACTCCTAAGAATGAAGCTGTGTCCGCTCCTCTGATGGCTAAAAGCTTGAACTCTGGAGCCTGCCCAGGCTCAAAGTTCAGGTTTGTCACTTAATATCTGTGTATCTTGGGTAAATTCCTTAACTGCTGTGTACCTTGGTTTCCCCATCAGTATAATGAGGATCATACTAGAGAGTACCTACCTAATAGAGTTGCTAGGATTTCTTGAGTTAACGTATAAAGTGCTAAGAATAGTGACTGCCATCATGTTAAGTGCTCACTTTGCATTTTAGCTATTTTGATGTTAAACCACGTTTAAATTTGACTCCCTTTATCCCTTCTCAGCACCCACCCGGCCTCTTCCACGGACTACTTATTTACCACCAAGGGCTGTCCCCAAAATGGCCTTCCAATCAGATTGCAAGGATGTCTAGCCATAGTACCATTCTAAATAATTTATGGTTTGCTGACTTCTGAAATTGGAGTCTGGTAGGCAGTTTGCTGTTAAATGTATGTCACACCCTAACCTTACCAGGGAGAAGGTCAAGTGCTTCCCTCCACCCTTTGCACTGAAGCCTTGTCATCCCTCAGAGAAATGCAACTACCCAGTGTGGTTCCTTTCTCAGACTCCACATCATGCAGCTGCCCATCCCCCACATCTCTTCCCCATAACCAAGTTTACTGGGTCATCATTTCTTTTAGGAAAGCCCACAAGGTTGTGCATTTAATACAACACTGAGCACAGACAGTTAAGAACCCACCACTACTTCTCCGCCTTCCAGGAGGAGGCCTGAAGTGCATCCTTCAGGCCTGCAAAGCCCCAGGCAGCTGCACCTGATCCTGGGCTTCCCGCTCCCTTCCTCCCGTCCCACTTATCCAAGGCTCAGGTCTTAGAGTTTGGACCCTCTGGCTGCTGCTATTGGGCCGAAGAGATCCAGGGTCAGAGCCACAGTCCACCTGCTCTGCTGCTGGGGAAAGACCCTTAGAGATCCAGTCAGGCAAGGCAAAGAGCGGCAGGGCAGGCAGCCTCGCGGCAAGGAAGGTTCAGGAATGGCTTGGTCAAGAGCCTCAATCACTGAACAGCACCCAGACAGTGACAATGCCGCGAGGAATAGGATGTAGTACATCAATCTCAGCTTTATCCTCCGAAAGCCAGTCACCCCAAGAACGATCTTTGCGAAGAGCCATTCGATGGACTCCACCCACAGAACAAACGTTTTCTCCCAGGTCCTGGCACACCCACCAGCTTCAACCTAGGAAATTCACCCCGTGGGTAGCCCAGGGCGGGAATTCTCTGCCATCCGTCCACGGCCGAGGCCCACACACTTACCATTGGCGTTCTTGCCGCAGATGAGATGTTCATAGGGCTGCAGGACGCCCCAGAGCTCGGCGTCGTTGTTGATGACCATCTCCAGGGCCTCGGCGGACACCTCCCCGCCCCCGGCCCCTCCACCATCAGGGCTCTGGCTGGCCAGCACCCTGGCCCGGATCTCCTCCACCAGGTTCTCCATGCAGGCCGTGAGCGAGATGGCCGCGTACTCGTGGATGCGCACGGAGATGCGGGTGTCCACCATCCAACGGAAGAAGCGGCCCACCGAGAAGGTGAGGCCACAGCGCGCCGACTTGCCGCGGCGCAGCCCGTCGCCGGCGCTCATGCTGTACAGGGACAGCGCCTTGACCGCGGCCAGCGCGCAGCTCTCGGCCAGCGCCCAGCTGTGCACCAGGCGCACGGCGCTCTGCACCTCGAAGCGGGTGCACTTGGCGTGCAGCACGCTCAGGCGCTGCGCCTCGCGGGCCACGCGGATGAGCGCCCTGCGGAGCAGCCCGGCCAGGCGCCGCACCCCCTCGGCGGAGAACAGGGGCAGCCGCCGGCCGCCGGCGCCTTTGCGAAGCACCCGGGCCACGTCTCCCTCCGTCCAGGGGAACTCCTCCAGCTCCGGGAGGCGCGGGCAGCGCGAGAAGAGGTCGGCCACTTCGGGGTCCTCGGGCAGCACCGTGTTCACCGTGTCCCAGCTGTTGTGGCGGCTGTTCATGGAGCCGGAGTAGCACCACCAGGCCGCCCCGCGGTGCTGCTGCGCCGAGGAGTTGAGCGCCTGAGAGTTGGACTTGGAGGACGAGAGGCTGAGGGAGCGGCACGAGTCCCCGGCCCCATACCCGGAGTCCAAGGTCAAGTCCTCCAGCGTCTTCAGAGTGGAGCTGTAGGTCCCGGCCATGGGGAGCCTGCCGGCGGCGGCCTCGCCGAGCGAGGGGCGCTCACAACTCCATGCTCCCTTCCCCAAGCGGGCAGGAACAGGCTCTAGGCTCTCCGGGGCGCCCTCCTTCCTCTCGGCGGCCACATCGCCCGCCCGGAGGCCGCGGGAAGGTGGGCGAGATTCTCGGCGGCCAGGGCTCCACGCGCCCCGCGTCCGACGCGAAGCTGTCACTGGAACAGCCCCCGCCGCTCCTCCTCGGCGATCCCCCCTGGCCCACCTCAGCCTCCCGCCAGCAGAGCGTCTGTCCGCAGAGAAGGAATCCCGGGAGAACAGGGCGGCGGCAGAAGGAGGAGGCGGCTCGCGGCGCCGCGCGAGTCCGGGACCAGCCGGCGAGAAAGCGCTCGGCAAACTTCTGCGCGGCGCCGGCGGCCCGCACAGCTGGGTACCCCGCCGCCGCCGCCGGCATGCAAATAACCCGAGGTGGCTCACCAATCATCGGCCGCGACGGGCAGGGGCTGCACCAATGATCTCCTCGAGGGGCGGTCACTATGCAGATTTCACGGGGCTGCGGGTGAAACCCCGCGGCGACGGGGGCGGGGCTGGAGGCCGAGGGTCGGGTGAAGCGGCTGGGATGAAGGTGGAGGAGGGGGAAGAGAGCCCGCGAGCCACCGGGCGCGCCGGGAAGTGCGAGCCGACACCGGGAAAGGAGGGGTCGAAGCTTTGGGCTCGGGAGCTGACGATTTAAAGGAAAATTTAAAGGAAAAGCCACTGTGCCCTAACCCCCTGCCCGCCGTCCAGGCTTTGGGCGTTCGCAGCCCCTTTTCAAGCCCTCTGCAGCCAAGCACCGAGGCTGACTTGAGTGTGGGTCCGGGGGGCGTGGGGGGAACAGCCGACTGGGGGAGGGGGGCACAAGCCAGGCACCGCACCTCTCTCCCGGACTTTCTGGCAGGCCCTTCCCGTTTCCTGAGATGAAACTCCACTTGTGTTTAGAGGGAGGAGGGACGTCCCTTCTTGCTTCTCCCGAATCCGTCTGGTTTTCTTTACGTTGCTATCCTAGGTTCCAGTCGGAGCAGATCTGACGAATAGACGGGCTGCAGGAGGTCTGTGGTCCCCCTCCCACCCCACCACGGGAAATTACGAAGTTTTCTGAGTATTAACTCTGGGGAGAGGGTCCTAACTTTTATCAGATTCTCAAAAGGGCCCGGGGCTTCCCTGTTACATCTGTACAGTCCTGCTGGCTGTCAGGTGCATCCTCTCTGTCCGAGGTGCGCATGTCCGAGTGTGTGTGTGAAGGTGAGAAATGTACCTAGCACTGGCCTGCGCTCCCAACACCTGGCTGCATGCCCCACCCCCTGACGGTGTGCCCATGGGCGAGCCCTGCGCCCCCTTGGGACTCGGTTTCCTCCAGGGTGAAATGAGTGCTGACCTCCAAGCAGCGCCGGGGTAAACACGTCTCAGGGCCTGTGTCCAGAAGCGGTCAGTCAGAGCGCTATTGGTTCCAGCAGATCCACGCCCAGTCCTCTCCGTCCGGCTGCGGTCCCGCAACTGTGCACACACACGTGCTCGAACGTGCATATGCCCCCCTTGACCGCAAAGTCAAGGAGGAGATTGTGCACGCGTTACCCCCAAGTTGGCCTCCCGCGCTCCTGAATGGTTCCTTTGTGCTGTATTTTACACAGTTCCAACCTCGGGCCGTGAGTTGGATACGAGCTGGAAATGTCTGGTTTGCCTCTTTCCTTCTGAAATTAATGGCCCTTGCCCTGTGAAACTCCTTTTTCTGTAGCAGTTTGGCTTAAATTTTCTTTTCTGCGGATCTTTATTGATGCAATATTGCCGCCTCGTGGTCAGAAGTGGGAACGGAGTCAAGGGTGGAAGTAATACGAAAGACACAAGTCCGCAGCGCTCAAGTTAAGAGGACACAAGATGGGACTACATTTGGTAGAACTGAGATAAGAAGTCAAAAGTGGGTATTGAGGTTCAACATGTCAAAAATTCGAAAACAAATTGGATGCAATTTAAAACTTATTAGGGGAAATATAATTTTAAAGCAAATGTCGCCCTCTAATGGACATTTAGAGGAAAGAAATTGCTCACAGGCCCGTCGGTTCTTTCTCTCTTTCTTTCTTTTTTCTTTCTTTCTCTCTCATTCTTTTTCTTTCTTTCCTTCCCTCCTTCCTTCCCGTCTTTCTTTCTTGTTTTTCTTGTCTTTCTTTCTTTCTTGTCTTCCTTTCTTTCATTCATTCTTTCTTGTGCACACCCTTAAGAAGCAGAGAAAATTTCTTAACTGGAAGCTTAAAACAGGGAACTGGGAAAGAGCAGATGCCGTTTATCTTATATTTAAATGACTTGATGACATAAAAGTGTAAAGACAATCAAACATGCCTACAGCCAAATTTCAGAATCTTGTGGATGTTAAACTACTCTGCAAAGATTTGTTCCGCAAAATTTAGCCATGGAAAATTCTACTGGAAAAACAATTGAGTTTCATTAATAAATAAATTACAAGGAGAGAAAGAGATGGTTAAGAACCTTATATACTAAAAAAGACTTAAGACATATAAACTAGTTAGTCATAATGTGTGGAATTTATTTGGAATTTGATTTTTTTAGAATCAATAAACATTTGACATTATGAAACAACTGGAAATCAGGAACATCACCCAGATCTTTGCTATTATGAAATCACTGTTACTTTTTTGATGTGGTAATGGTAGTGTGGTATATTTATTAAATATTCCTATCTTTTAGAGATACATAGAGAAATGTGTGTTGTAATTTTTTCATTAAAAAAAGGAAGAAAATTCTTATGGGAAAATCTGGTAAAGGGACTAGAAAGTTATGAAAGATGGTTAAGATTGTACATCTCTTGTCTTTCATATGTTCACCAAAGTCTTCTATTGCCAACTAGAGAACTGGACATACAGAGTAAACCCGAGTGTGTCTCCTTGTGTTTTGTGTGATGGGGGGAGAAAGAAACAGAGGAAGATAGAGGACAAGATACATTGAGCCATGTTAGAAATTAACCAACTGATCGATTTCAGTTAGTCATTTGGGAAGTTGGCAAGCAGGGTGAAAAACTTTGGATCAAGAAAGAAAAGACATGGCTTCTTATACATACGTGTGTGTGCTTAATTAAGGCAATCTGGTGGTAATGTGCTTAATGTTAGGAATGCAAATTATATTAGAAGAAGAGGAAGTATCATCCCAACCAGGCCTGGCCCAAACATCATTTTTGGAGAAAAATAATTGTCATGTAGCTGGACACGTTAAAAAGAACATGATGAAACCACAGCAAACATTGGGAGAATTCCCAGGGGAATGAGTAATTAAAAATCTGTGATTGCCCATGCAAAAATTATATAAGGGAGGAAGCTTGAAATACAGTTTAGAAACTTTACCTTGGCTGATGTCTCATATTTTGTTATACAGTTTCTTACAAAATCAAAATCAATCTGGAGATTAGGGGACAAAATACCCTGGAATTTATCTTGAAAGCGAAGAGGTTAAAACTAAGTACAGAGAGGACTCTCATATGAGAAAGGTAGCTTATGTCCTTGGCTTTAGAGAGTGGCCAAGTTTCTATTTAGTTTGTGGATCATTTTTGGTAAATTCTCTCAGTATTATTTATTGAATACCTACTGGGTCTGCCCTGTACTAGCACTACGGAGGTGCGTTAGACAATGTTCCTGCCATTAAAAAAAATCAACACACACACACACACACATGCCCAATATGCAGACAGACAAGCATATGAGACTAACTATTCTGCAAAAATATGCTTTGCAGAACTGCTCAGAAACCACCGACTAAGGGCCACTGCCAGTTCCTTGACTCACCACACAGGCTGCACCTAGAGGAGACATGGCACAAACACGAGGGAGAAAATACTCTGGAATGCAAGAAGGGTTGGAAAAGGTGCCATAGTTGTACAAGCACGTGATGGTTAGCAGAGAAGTTTTGTGGCGGAAAATCAAGCAGAACCCTCAGTTGTTGAAAAGGGAACCAATGGTGTGGAAACTGTGAGATAATCCTTCCATTCCATGCAGCCCATGTTAGCCCAATCCTGACACAGGGTTGTTGTTGTTGTTTCTCTCTCTCTCTCTCTTTTTTTCTGGACCTCATGACTAAAGAGATCTACAGATCATTTGGAACAAAGAGCCCCCAAGATGACCCAGGGAAAAAGAAATGCACTTCTCCCAAGCACATTCTGCAGAATGGTGTCAGGGGTTGGTTTGTGAAACAAGGATCAGTAGTTACGTTTGGGAATTTCTGCATTGTGTTTTTCCCTCTAGTATATTCATGATGGACAGTATTTTATTTCGGGCTCTTTCATATTTCCTTGAACCCAGCATATAGCAGGCTTAACTGGGCAGAGAACTCTTCCTGCCCTGGGGTTGCTGCAAAGGAACTGGGACTTTTTATTTAGCTCGAAGCAGAAAGGACAGTTACCATGCTTTATGAGTCTGCTCAGGCAGTGGTGGTAAGGCAGGACCCTTGGAAAAAGTCCAGATAAACCCCTGAACGGAGCAAGGTTCCCCACCTAACCCCCGCATAGAGTTTGGTGATCTGTTAATCACACAAATGTGACTCCAAAGGTAGATCTAATCCTAGAGCATTGGTCCCCAGGGGAAAAGGAGGTGGTATGGGTTTGGGCACTGGCACAAGTCAAAAGGTTTACAGAGTCAACAAGATGGGGGGGGGGGGGAATGTCTCTCCAAGGGGGAAATTCTGCTTATTAGGCAGCTGGTATTACAGATTTGTTAGCTGCTATTAGAGACGAAACCATCAGCACCTGGCGATTAAGGGCAAGAATTTTAGGGGATGGTCTGGAACTCAAAACTACAGAGCTGAATTCAAACAAGAGGACAGAAAACCAAGGAACAACCCCACGGAGGTAAGAGTGCCAAACCCCCACATCAGGATGTTCTATGTGCCAGTCAGCAATGCACTGCAGTTGTGTTCTTCTGTCCTGGTAAAGAGAATATCTAGGGTGAAATATGATATTCAACTCTGCAGTATTTACTAAACAGTCATCTTGTAAGATGCATCTGGCATTCTTATTGCAAATCTGAAGTCCCAGCCCCCTTTCTTGAAGGTCCTGATTCAGGAAGCCCGGAGTGTGATCCAGGTAAAAGTATTTTCGACAAGCATTCCCAGAATGCTAAGGCACTTGTCTCTTAAACCTCAAAGTGCCTGAGGACTGGTATAAAAATGCTTATTCTTGAGCCATACCTGCGGAGTTTCTAATTCAGTAGGTCTGGAGCCTATGAAACTTCATTTTTAACCTATGGGTCTCAGGTGATTGGAACGCAGGGAGTCCAGAAAACTTGCTCTTCAAGTTGCAGGGCAGGGAGTTCAGAGGTCTCCAGCAGGTGGTGCTCTTGTTCATTTTGCTAAAAATTTACTCGTTAAAGAAATTAAATTCTTATGAGCTGGA